CGCTATTGTGGCCACTTTGTCCGTCCGTCCGTCCGTCCGGCTGTCCGTCCGTCCGTCCGCTCGTTTTTTAAATGTGCCCTGTGTTTGTCTGCGAACACTCAAGAAAATGTTACGTTAAGTGACATCATGAAAGAGTTGCGAGAGTTATCTTTAAAGCACAGTAGTATTTGCAACTCCATTGAAGTGTGCCATTTGAGAGTCGAAGAGAACAACAATCTCTTAAAAGCGCAAGAGATTACAATTAGCAATTGTTTAGAGAGCAGCTATCATTGCAAAATGCGACCTTAAAGAGAGAGAACCTGGAACTCAAAAAGCAGATCAACGATACCAACCAATATGCTAGATTAAATTCGGTGGAGATCTACGGTATACCAGAAATTAAAAATGAAGATGTTCTTCGCACCGTGCAAATTATTGGCGAAGCTGTTGGTTACCACATAGAAAAAAATATGATCGACGCTACTCATCGTTTGAGGCAAAACGCTAATAGACCAAATGATCCTCGTGGAATAATCGTCAAATTTGTAAGTCGCATCGCCAAGGACGAGTTCATGAAAGCGAGAAGAGTGAGAAGAAATTTTGATACCGGGTTCCTTAAGGATTTAATCACAGGCATAGGTCAAAGTGCAACAAAGCCTATCTATTTCAATGATTCTCTACCGTATGACAACAGACAGTTATTTTCAAAGTGTAGAGAGTACAAAAAGACGCATGACATTAAATATCTTTGGGTGCGTAATGGGAAAATTTTTATGCGTATGAATGATAACTCCAAGGTATTTCACATATTTAATACAGACCGAGATACAGACTGTTTAAATGATGTACATTGAACTATAAAATTTGTAAATTCTTAGTTATTTATTGTGAATGTTTATATACTATATATAACACAATATGCATTGTTTGTGTGGGTATGCTTTTTCTATATCAAAGCTCACTTCAATTGTAATTTATTTGCTCAGCTCATTGTTCAATTTTGTAATTTTGAAATATATCCAATTTGTATGAGTATAATGACAATGACTACACTTATTTTCGTGTAATGATGACATCTACTAACCTAATTAAATTAGCACATGTACGATCACTAACCAATCAATTTATAGACTTCAAGAAACATGTTTTGGAAAATGATTACGACATTGTGGCAGTTACTGAAACCTGGCTTTCGCCAACTATTTTAGATTCGGTGGTAGCAATTAATGGATATGTTTTTGTAAGAAAAGACAGACGTACTCTTACGTGGGGAGGTGGAGTTGGATTATACATCAAAGTCAGTTTGCAATATAAATTAGTACGTACTGTGACATTAAGTGTTTCGAACATATTTGGATTTTGCTAACTTTTAATAACGAATCAGTTACAATTGGTGTTATTTATAGACCCCCGATTTTTCGATTTCAGAATTTATTGAATCTTTTGAGGAATGTATTGTTCCAATTTTACTTACAGCTGATGAGTTGGTGTGTTTAGGTGATTTTAATTTAAACCTGCTTAAAGTTGAAGATGCTGGTACCATTCAATTTCAAACTCTTTTGGAAACAATGGGTCTCCAACAAATAATTAATGAACCCACAAGGATATCCAAGACGAGTTCTTCCTTATTAGATTTAATAATTGTTCCAATCCACAAGTCACATGCTAATTATAAAATTATTACGTTGCATGGTGTGTCAGATCATTCTCTGACGTATTGTGATTATCCAATTTTGATAAAGAATGTAAAATCTAAATTCATTACCTATAGAAACTTTAGAAATTTTGATGTAGTATCCTTCAATAGACACTTGCACAACATAAATTGGAATGATATCTACTCGCTAAAAGACGCTGATGGCATGGTGTCATTTTTGAACGAAAAGATAATTCACCTTTTTGATTGCCATGTACCATTTAAAACCGCAAAGATAACCAAACCATTTGCTCCGTGGCTAACAGAAAATATAAAATTTATGATTAGTCTTCGCGACAAGGCATATACTAGGTTCAAAAGATCTAAAAATGTCGCTCACTGGGATTACTATAAAACATTGCGTAATTTCGCGACACTTGCTATAAAAAGAGAAAAACGCTTATATCGAGCATCGACTAAAGTCCAGTAATAATATTTGGCATGATTTAAAAACAATGAATATATACAGGGTGGTGCCTAGCGCAACGCAGCATAGGGATTTCAATGGTAATTTCTTTATAGTCAATTACTAGCTCCCCAAATTATTTTAGAGCAAAAGTCTAAATACGTTTTTTTAGAGAAAAAAATGCTGCATCTGTTCATACTATTACTTATAATTTTCCATTTTTCAAACCCGTAGAAATCGAGAAAATAAAAAATCGATAAAAAATTACATTTATATAAATCAGTGATGCTTTGGAATCTTTTAACAAATTACAAGCGCATCGCATCTAAGTTATCGTTGTTTGACGTCGGACGATTTTCATATTTAATTCTGTTTCAACTAACCGACGCAATAAAAGGCATCTTAGGGTAATGTTTTTTTAGAGAATGTATGCTGCATCTGCATCAGATACTATTTGTTTATCATTTTCCGAACCAGAGTACCTACATAATCGAAGAAAAAAAACCTCGAAAAAAACTGATTTGAAGAAAATTTGTTCTTAAACTTATATTCGGATTTTCCGCTACTCCAGCCAAAACGTTGAATGTATTGTCGTTTTCCTGATGGTTTTGACGGACATTTTGAAAGTTATTGCACTTGCAGTTCTTTAACTAATTTATAAACAAGTATAAATTTAATATACGTCAAAGGCAAATAATGGAACGTGATCGCTGTTTTTTTAGGTAATTCCAAGGCATATTTGATTTATTGTAAAATGAACCTTTTTATTTTGTCGATTTCTACGGTTTTGAAAAACGGAAAATTATAATTAAAAGTATCGAGGAACAGATGCAGTATTTTTTTCTCTAAAAGAAACGTATTTAGACTTTTGCTCTAAAATAATTAGGGGAGCTAGTAATTGACTATAAAGGAATTACCATTGAAATCCCTATGCTGCGTCGCGCTAGGCACCACCCGGTATAGCAAATCTTCGCGTACCGAAATCCCAGTATTTTTGAGTGATGTCCATAAGATTAGTGATTTCTTTGCTACACCTACAACGCAAGTAAATGGAGGGGGGCTAACTCAATATTACAATAATAATCTTATAAAAACCTAAGCTCACAATTCGAATTCCAGGAAGTAACAGATTTTGATGTGGTCAAGTATGTCAACAAAATTTCTACTAAATCTGTAGGGCTTGATGGCATCAGTGGCAAAATGTTAATTATGTGTATTCCCTGTATTACACCTTATTTAACGTACCTGATAAATTATTGTTTAAGACATAACGAATTTCCAAAACTTTGGAAGAAGGCCAAAATTATTCCATTACTAAAGGCAACTGTTCCGAAAAGCTATAAAGACTTGCGTCCAATAAGTATATTGCCGGTGCTGTCAAAGGTCTTGGAGAAAATTATGACTGACCAGATTAAGCAATATTTTACTTGCTTTGATATCTTACCACCTACTCAATCTGGATTTCGACAGGGTTACAGCTGTGCCACGTCGCTACTTAATATTACAGACAACATACTGACTGCCCTAGACTCAGCAAAACTATCATCTCTAGGTCAACTCGATTTCTCCAAGGCCTTTGACACTATCAATCACGAGCGCCAGCTAATCTTCTTTCAGGGGTACCCCAGGGTTCCGTACTCGGACCGCTGTTATTTATTATTTACACTTTTAATTTTGGTAAATCACTGAAATACACTACATTTCATCAATATGCTGATGACACACAAATACAATTTGATTTCTTTGACTATGAAACAAAACTTGCCAATAAATATTGTTGTGAGACCTAACCTTCACTTCTGGGAATCCCACGATTTACCTCTAGCTAGCTCAGTTGAAATTAAAATGAAAACAAAATTTTACCCGCATCTCAAGGTCCAGCTGGATTCTGCCACCCTACAGCATTCCAACAATGACATAAATAGGTGGCTTAACCAAATCCTTAAATTCCAATATGAAACTTTACCCCCAGATTTAATCAACTTGAAACAAAGTAAGAGACGCCGACAATTACCTCTCCTTGACTCTAATAAACAAAACCTGGATTGCAATGACTGGTTTAATTTCAAACAAAAAATTGCGTAAATTTCTGTTTTACAAATTGTTACAATTTTAAACAGATAAATGACACACACAAAAAAAAACAAATTACTCAAACATTACAAAAAAAAACATGACAAAACAAAACCACTAACTACTACTTACTTTTAAAATTAGTCCGAATAACGTATTCCGATAAAAAGAGGTATCCGTACACAATCACGTAAACCAACCACTCAAACACCGACGTCTTCTCTCTTCGGGTACCCACAAATTCAAAACTTCCGTGTTTCCGCAAAATAAAAAAAAAACAGGACGACGACAAACTTCTTAAACTTCTCAATAATTCTTCTTAAAACGGCAGACACAAAATTCTAATTAAACCTGGATCCAACTACGCAGGAAAACTTCCACAAAATTCAAAAATAACGTAACCGAAGAAGCGCCGGTTGGCTTTGTAACGACCAAAAAGCCCCGCTCTCTTCCAAAATTTTCTATTTAAGCCAAAAGCCCTTCTCCTTTCTTCAACATCCCGTCCGCCAATCACGCGAAGCGTCGATTTTTCAACTTCTTGCTAAACGGCACGTACGCCCGGCAATTCTGCGAAGAACCTTATCTCTACTTCGCGCTATACCTCGTTAACGGCAAATAAAATTTAAAAAGAAATTTACATCGAAAAAAATTCTAGGAATAAAATAAAAACAGAACACTTCTAAGAAATTGAACCAAAACTATAACATGAAATTTACGCAATCCTGTGTCTCAAATTATTAATAACCCCCCCGGTTAATTAATTGAACTAAACAAAATTGTCACATCCAGACGCTCTATAATTTCTTTCAAGTTACAACTAAAACAAAATAACACAACATTTTCCCCCTTTAAATTGAACACAAAAACACAAAATTACAATCCTCCCCTGACTATGAAAACAAAACAAAATATTGGAATTACAGGGTTTTTTTTTTCAATTTACCAATTAACTTTAAAAAAAACTTCGGGACCTGCTTTAGGTATTCGGACACGATCGCCTAACACAGCTCCCTAGTCATTACTGAAACCCCGCACGGTGACGTCACCAGCTGAGCCTGAGAAATTTCATCATCCTAGTATAAAAATTTAAGAACTACCACTAATTTACTGTAACTCTACAACCCTTAGCTAACTATTCAAATGCCGGATAGATCGAACCATCTTCGGCGTTGTTTCAACCTAGGTCCGACCTATTCCAGCAGTTAACCTAACCTATCATCCCTAATCTAATCTTAAATCAAAGTCAAAATCTCGCACTGTACTGTCAACCAAATACGCCTGGGAACCATCCCTATCATTCCTAATCTTTTTCCTAAACTTTTTCCATTCTCGCTTTTCTTTTCCTCCCCCCTTTTCTAAATTAATCCAGGGCTTCTCAATAAAAATCCCACACATAAAATAATCTCTTAATTCTTCAATTACAACAATCCGTTTACCCTTTTCACTCATAATTAAATTATTCAAATAATCAATGCCTACTACTTCCAAAAACTCACTACTCCTAACTCTTTTAATCTTATCCTGCTTCCTACAATCCTCATCCTGCTCAAAGCTACACAAATTCCCTTCATTCTCAATCGATAATTCCAATTCTAAGTCTCCTACTACCCTATCATAATAAAAATTCCTCCAAAAATCCTGAAAATAATTCTCCCTTATCTGGTTATCTAAAATCTCATAATTAGTTCCTATCTCCTTCCCGCCTATTCCTTTCCTTGATAAAACGTCCACACATAAATTATTATTCCTTTTTAAACTATTACTCCCTTTCACATACTTAATCTCAAACAAATTCGCCTGTAAATTTCTACCCCTACAATAAATCTTATTATCCACAAAACTCTTCGCTATTAAATAATTCAAATCCCTATTCTCATCTTCTATTTCAAACTTCCTATAATTCACGCAATACAACTTCACCTTCAATTCTGGTTCCCTACCAGTTCCTGCAATAAAATAACTACCTACTTCAACCCTATTTTCAACTAAAATCCCTTCATCTTCTTTCTCTTGTACGACTTCTTCATCTTGCCTATGAACTTTTTCAATCTCGACTTCTTCCTTAACTTCAACTTCTTCTTTAATTACCATCTCATTTGATCGCTTCTTTCTCATTAATTCTATTTCTTGTCTGATTTCTTCCTTTAATTCCGCTTTTAATTCCGCTTTTAATTCCGCATTCTGCGCTTTCATTTTTTCGCCCAAATCCTTCTTCAACTCTCTTATCGCTTCTATAAACACCGCAAAATTCGCTGCCTGAATAGATGACACTCCCATCGTGAACAACTCTTCTTTCTTCTCGTCTTGAATAAAAATCACGTTCAAAAAAAAATCCTAACACTAATTCTAACACTACCTACCCCGTAACTAATCCTATCCTAAACATCCTAATCTAATTTAAATTGCAAAAAACACCCTACCAAATTCTTCCTGTCACATTTTAACAAGTTCCTACGCCTACGCATCCTACAAATTCCTATAACAATTAACCTCCACAATGGACACCTCTTTTCCCTGAAAAATGACATGTCTGGGTACCAAAATAACTTTTTACCCGAACGACAAAACAACCCTAATCTGAATTTACCTACAAAATTTTTACCTACTTTCGCGTTTCCCTGAAATTGCCCCACGTTTTGGGCGCCAAATTATTGTTGTGAGACCTAACCTTCACTTCTGGGAATCCCACGATTTACCTCTAGCTAGCTCAGTTGTAATTAAAATGAAAACAAAATTTTTATCCGCATCTCAAGGTCCAGCTGGATTCTGCCACCCTACAGCATTCCAACAATGACATAAATAGGTGGCTTAACCAAATCCTTAAATTCCAATATGAAACTTTACCCCCAGATTTAATCAACTTGAAACAAAGTAAGAGACGCCGACAATTACCTCTCCTTGACTCTAATAAACAAAACCTGGATTGCAATGACTGGTTTAATTTCAAACAAAAAATTGCGTAAATTTCTGTTTTACAAAATGTTACAATTTTAAACAGATAAATGACACACACAAAAAAAAACAAATTACTCAAACATTACAAAAAAAAAACATGACAAAACAAAACACTAACTACTACTTACTTTTAAAATTAGTCCGAATAACGTATTCCGATAAAAAGAGGTATCCGTACACAATCACGTAAACCAACCACTCAAACACCGACGTCTTCTCTCTTCGGGTACCCACAAATTCAAAACTTCCGTGTTTCCGCAAAATAAAAAAAAAACAGGACGACGACAAACTTCTTAAACTTCTCAATAATTCTTCTTAAAACGGCAGACACAAAATTCTAATTAAACCTGGATCCAACTACGCAGGAAAACTTCCACAAAATTCAAAAATAACGTAACCGAAGAAGCGCCGGTTGGCTTTGTAACGACCAAAAAGCCCCGCTCTCTTCAAAAATTTTCTATTTAAGCCAAAAGCCCTTCTCCTTTCTTCAACATCCCGTCCTCCAATCACGCGAAGCGTCGATTTTTCAACTTCTTGCTAAACGGCACGTACGCCCGGCAATTCTGCGAAGAACCTTATCTCTACTTCGCGCTATACCTCGTTAACGGCAAATAAAATTTAAAAAGAAATTTACATCGAAAAAAAAATTCTAGGAATAAAATAAAAACAGAACACTTCTAAGAAATTGAACCAAAACTATAACATGAAATTTACGCAATCCTGTGTCTCAAATTATTAATAACCCCCCCGGTTAATTAATTGAACTAAACAAAATTGTCACATCCAGACGCTCTATAATTTCTTTCAAGTTACAACTAAAACAAAATAACACAACAATATATAAATGAGGACATTCAAACTCTTGTGAAGTTATCTGAAGAACATGGGCTGCAAATCAATCCTGTAAAATCTTCTACGATTTTATTTGGCAAGATAAATACCCGAAATATTGCAAAACATGAGATTTGTGTGAAAGTCAAAGACAATCAATTGTCAAACGTAGATTGTGTTAAAAGTCTGGGTTTATATATTGATTCCGGATTACGATTTAAACGCCATATAACCTCTATTATATCTAACGCGTTTACCAACCTAAAACTGATATATAATAACAGACACATACTCAATAAAAAAGTAAAAAGTATATTATGTGACTCAATAGTGCTGTCTCATTTTAACTACTGCGATTCGGTGTATGGTGCACGCCTTGACAGTACCGATGTTAGACGTATACAACGAATGCAAAATTGTTGTATGCGTCTGATATTCGGAATAAGAAAATATGATCGCATTTCCCATAGATTATCTGATCTGAAATGGTTAAATATGGCGAACAGAAGGAAATACCATTCTCTAGTTTTATTTCACAAAATAATCTAATCTGGAGCAAAACACCAAGGTATTTGTATAGTAAGATCCATTTTAGCTCGAACCCTAGATTCAATCTCTTGATTACACCTCCCTTCCACAAAACAGCACTATTTGAAAGGTCCTTTACCTATAATATTGCGAAGCTGTAATTATAATGATTTGCCGAGTAATCTAAAAAAGTTATCTGTTAGGTCCTTTAAAATTCAGTTACACAGTTTCTTAATCAATTCTCAAAATCATTCGTAATAAATTTAAATCATATTAATCTTCAGTACCAATTTTGTTACAGAATACGCTTCTTGTTTGGCTTTGTTTTTGTTTTTTTTTCTTTCTCTTTTTCCTCTTTCAATAGAAATTTCTTTATCATTTTATGATTTTATCTTTCAACAATGATTAATGTATGTATTCGATCCAAATACGATATTACGTTTATTTTTTGTTTTTTTTGCACTCGTACAAGATAAATGGTTTTAATTATAATTTTTCAGTCATTTGACGTTCATTTATAGTTATAATAATAATAATAATAATAATAATAATAATAATAAAGTTTATTTGAGCTTTAAAAATAAAACAAAACAAAAATATAACAACAAAAAAGAATGAATTCGGCAATGCCGTTTTTCAATTCACCCTTTAAAAACCAAAAAGAGAAAAAAATCGCCTCACAAAACTAAAAATTATTGCTTAGATATAGTTCTTTAGTCGATTTTGCGAACTGTATATAATTCTTGTTAAGTTTATCCAATCTACAATTTAACAGGGACGGTGCCATATAAGCGAAACAGCCTTGAAATTTTTTAGTATTGTGCCTTGGTATTGTGAAGGAATTAACCCTTAAATTTAAGTTATGCACGACAGACCTTCTAATTAGCAGTTGACATAAATACAGTGGTACTTTGCATTGTAACAATTTATATAAAAATAACGTGTATAGATATCTGACCCGACAATTAATTTTCAACTCGTTCAGTTTCTGGTAATAGGGCGTAACATGCTCTCTAAACGGTACATTACAAATAAATCTTATGCACGAATTTTGAATTTTTTGCAATTTAGCTTGATCACTCTTTGTAAGAAAAAAATAGTACACCATACAGCAATAGTCAATATGAGGATAAATTATGGATTTAACTATCTTGTTTTTAACGGCTTCACTGAGCAGAAACTTCAAGTGATAAATAGACTTGAGCTTAAGAAACGACAGTCTGACTACGTTATTTACATGTTGACTAAAACTTAACCTAGTATCTAATGTAAGACCCAAATTTTTAACACTATTAGACCATGTAATGGAATCGTTCATAAGAGTTAATTGGAAACTACACACAATGTCTGACTTTCGTTCGGGACCGACACAAATGGCTGTAGATTTCATGGGATTTAATTTTAAGCCGTTCTTTTCACACCACGTTTGCATGTTGAGAAGATCTTCCACATTCGATTCATTACATTCCATGTATAGCTGTAGATCATCAGCATAAAGATGATATTGAAGGTGTTGAAGACATGTAGGTGAGTCGTAGGTAAACACTGAAAAAAGTAAGGGACCGAGCACGCTTCCTTGCGGAACACCCCTATCAATCTTCATATAACTTGACGATGCACTTGAAAGACTAACTCTTTGAAAACGATCGTTCAGATAAGCTTGAAACCATGTTAAACTGCTATTGTCGAATCCGAGATGCCGCAATTTGGCTACAAGCAACTGATGGTTTACCAAATCGAATGCTCTGCTTTGGTCGAGTAGAATTAAAATGGTACATAGCGACTTATCATAACTATATGAGATGTCAGTCATGACTTTCAAGAGGGCAGTATTGGTAGGTACCGTATTTTTTTCTATAAGCAGATTGGTTTGCAGGTATGATGCTGTAATGTTCCAAATACTTTGTAATTTGTGCAGCAAGTATTTTTTCAAAGATTTTCGCAAATGGCGACAGTAAAGATATAGGCCGTAGGTCGTTGTAAGTTGTGGGATTTGCGACTTTAGCTAGAGGTAAGATATCAGCGATCTTCCAAATTTGTGGAAAAATGCCATCACGTAAGCAATTATTAAACAACTTTAGAACAGAATCCAAACAGTGCGGAATGATTAGAATTATCATGGTTATGTTGAGATTATCTGGCCCAAAGGCTTTCGACGAAATGTTTTTTAACGCGCTATATATATCTTGCTCGGTAATCGAATTAAAAGTGAAAGATGCATTTTTACACCTCACCGTGCTATTGAAAAACTGAATCAAATTCAAATCGATTGTTGAATCACCAGCAATATTTAAAAAGTACTCATTCATGGTCGCGGGGTCTTGTAAAGATGCAGGTATCTCGTTTGTAGCACTCTTCTTTGTACGTACACCCAACTGTTGCAAGTGATACCACACTTTTCTCGAATTACTTTTGTTGGAATTCAACATGTATTGCACAAATGCCTTCTTTTCACGAGTTATCGCTGACTTAACATAATTTCTTATCTCGCAGTAATATTGCCGACTTGCTTCAGTTCTTTTCTTTAAAAAAATCCTGTGTGCCTTGTTTCTTAATCGAATCATTTCAATAATGTTATGGGTGATGTAGGGCTTATAATTTTTCCTTGGCGTAATTTTGATAAAAGGAGCGTGTAGATCGAACAACTCAAGAATAAAATCATTAAGCATTTTAGCACCTTTATTGAGGTCCTCGCACTGATCAATCAGTTGCCAGTTAATGCGTTCAGCATCAAGAACAAAAGAGTCAATATCAATCTTCTTAAAATTTCTGAAGGTGAAGTTGTGTGATTGTTTTACCTTGGAAGAAACACCAATGTTACAAAAAGTTAGCAAATGGTCTGTATTGTTAAGTAAATCGAATGTTCCACTTGAATTTATAGTAAAACTATTAGTTACACAAATAACATCAAGCAATGAAGCAGTTTTAGGAGTAATTCTTGTCGGTTCATTGATTAATTGCACTAAATCGAAATTGGAAAACAGTGACAATAGTCTTTTACTTTCACTAGCATGTTTGCACAACAGATTAACATTTAGATCCCCCATTAAGATTATCAATTGTGATCTAAGATAGATCTGTTCGATAATAAGTGTTAGATCGTTAAAAAATTGAATATTTGCACTCGGCTGTACGTAAATGACTCCAATGACCACTTTCAATTTATTAATTGTAACCATCAACCATAAATGATCAATCGATTCATAATTGTCGTCAAATGGAATTACTTGAAAGGTATAAGACGACTTTAAATAAATAGCAACCCCTCCACCAAAAGTTAAGCGATCCGATCTGACTAAATTGTAATTGTTTATATTTAAATATTTATCAACGTAACTTGCGTCAAGAAAAGTTTCAGAAACACCAATAATATCCGAATCATTGTCTATTATATAATCCTTTAAACT